TTTTTTCAACTATAAGAGTATATAAAATTACTGACCTTGCTACGTGTGCATATTTTTTGTCTGCAACTTAAATACTGGTGGGTCTATTTATGGATGAGTACTCTTACTAACTTTTGATTAAATGTTTTCATTTCTCTTATATGTTAGGTCTAATTTACTGTTTATAAATTGAGCCTATTACTATAAGCAGATACAGTCTACTAAGCAGCAATTAGAATTAAATAACGTAGATTGGATATCGTTGAGTGTGAAATGATAAGACTATCTCCTGACAATCCTCCATTCTCACTGCCCATGTGCTTTTCCTTGCATTACTACCATTGGTACCAAGAACTGCTGCGCCCCTACATCCCATGTACACCTTCACCCCTGTTGTGGTGCAGATGGAGGAGAAGGGTACAGCAGCCATAGCAGCACCTGAGAGATTGTCGACTTTCTAAGGGCCTTGCCTGTGGAGGTCATGGCAGGGACTTGGACAGAATTCCCTTAACCCCAACTTTCTCTCCTCATTCGTGGACACTCTTTCCTTAACTTCCTCCTGCCTTGGTAATGGGTAGGGAGGAGGTGGAGTGCAGTGGGCACTGTCACCTAGATGGATTAACTTAATTTTAAAACATCAGTTATCCAGGCCACCAAAAAACCCCTAGACTTTGTGTAATCATGAGTAGAAAGATGCAACTTGAAATTTGGTTTTTACTTGTTAGCAAGTTTGTTCCTAGTGCAATGGAACTTAATTCTTGTATACTTTGTCCGTTATGTTTAATGGTCATGTCCTATCCTCCAGTAGATAATTATGGGGAAATAAATGTCTTTTCAATTTTGTATTCTTAGTTGAGAGTTGAAAGAAAATACTTTACAAATATACAGAGCAATAGTGTTTTAGATGTGGTTTGGAAAGTTAGAAACCTGTTTTAATTTATGTTGAAGGAACTATGGGGTTGGTATTCTATTTGAATTGTAAAATGTTTTTATCTCAGCAATCTGAAAACTTACTAATTTTATATTAAATTGTCGTTACATCAATTATTCCTTATATTTGTATATTAAATAGAATTAGTACAAAATAATCTGTCAGTAACTTGTTCTTGTCTTCCAGTGAGGATGAACTGGAAGAAACAAATGGAAATAACCCCATTGACATTGAGGTTGATCAAAACAAGGAAAGCAAAAAGGAGGTATTTTTTTTCCCTAGTATTGTTTAGGCAAATAAATTTTATTACTAGTTCCATAAATAAAACATTCCTCTTGCTTATTCCAGTTAATATGTTAAGTGCTATGTACAAAGCATCATAATATGACATTTTCAACAGTACTACCTTTGCGTTTTAGAACTTAGAATTTTGTTTGCCAAGAAACATGAGTAAAAGAAGTGTTAAAGGAAAAAATACCCTTAATGAGTAAAGTCTAGAGTAGCAGTCCTTGCCGATTTCCTTCATAAGCCATTGATTAGCTCAGTAGGCTACAGAGGGTGCTAGGCAGGACCAGGCTACTGCCCAGCTCTTCCTCTCAGTACGCGGGGCCTCCGTTCTAACTGTGCTGCCCAGCACTGACTCAGAGTGAGATGACCCAGGTGACCACAGGGAGCTGGCGGGGACTCAGCCCAGCCCTCTCGATACTTAGAAACAGCAGTGTGGTCGCAACAGGGTGAGCCAGGAATATCACCTCATATATGGCCATTGTTTCATCTCTCACATTTAAAAAATCACTAGGCAGGCCGGGCGCGGTGGCTCACGCCTGTAATCCTAGCACTCTGGGAGGCCGAGGCGGGTGGATCGTTTGAGCTCAGGAGTTCGAGACCAGCCT